AGCTGTCAGCACTCCCATTCCAATATTGTTTATAGCATGTAACAACTCGTGATCCGGCCAAGTTCGTAGTCGATCCAAAGCGTTCTGGCGTAGCAGTGTCAAACCTGGGGCCTTACCGTCAATCTCACCTCGTACTTGTCGGATCACCAGATTCGAGTTTCCGCAGATCACTAGACGTCGTGGATCCAAATCTTCCAACAGCTCCAAATACAACAGCAACCCATAATATTCTGCTTCTTTCACTGTCAGACCTTCAGCGTAGCCAGATCTAGCTTTTAACACCCTCCATTCAGACAATTTCCACAAGATCGCGCTGTAAGCGGCTCCAGCCCTCTTGACACGATCGGATCCATCGAAACTAACAGCATATAGATCCTCATCACGTTCAATATTGGGGATCGGAGCCCGGAACTAGCGCCTTGGCTCCTTTTTGGGGGCAATCGAGACCAACGCCTTATCCACCTGTCATCTAGGCGTAATACTAGCCGCCAATGCTCCGAGGATCTCATCTTTACCCTTGCCACACTTGGTGATCTCGAGAGTCCACGGCGACAGTAGAGCAGCCCACTGACCTAACCGTCCCTGCAAGGCTGTGGATTTGAAGAGCCACGCAAAATAGAATGTCGGGTCAACACATGGATCGGGCATCCGATCAAGGCATTGTAGTTAAGATCTAGGATCCGCAGTAAGGCCAGTACCTCCTTCTTCGCGATACCATATTCACCTCATTTGACTTCAGGGTACGGCTCGCAAACATCCCAGGGTAGTAGATCTTGTCGTACCCCTCCATCAACGATCCCGAAATGGCCCAGCCACTAGCATACACCAAGTGCCGCAAGATCGGAGTAGTGACGATCTTGGATTTAAGCACACTGAAAGATCGATAGGTATGAATCCAACGCGGATCCACTTCAGTGAGATCTTGCGACTCCAGATCTAGTGTCTTCTGCTGGCCGATCGCTTGATCTTCCTGCGACTCTTGATCTACACTCTTCACCTCTAACACTCGTTAAATCCGTGCTGGGTTGGTGTCCTTCATCATCGCGGCGAAGTCGATTTCTTGCAATTCATACAAAACCGACGGTTATAGTAGGTCAGACTTCCCAAAAATGACTGCATGGCTCTAAGTGATCCTGGAAACGCTAGATCAGTCAATGCCGACAGACCTGTCGGATTCGCCTCTAGTCCATTGTGGGAGGAGACCTTATGACCGAGATATTCCACCTCTAACATTCCCCAGAAACTCTTAACCACAGTGATCGACAGATCCCACTTATCGCACGCTTCGAGTAAACCCTCAACTCGGTCACATAGTTTATATCAGTTATTGACTGGGATCAGGATGTTGTAGATGTATGATCTATGCCCAAGCACCGATGGCTTGCCTGGATCCACCGGTTCCCCGTCCTCAAACACATCCAAAGTATTTCCGTGATTTTCGGACGTGGGGAACCGGGTGAATCCATATTGTGCGTTGTCGATCATACGTTGATAGATCGGGGCACATTTTTCAAGCCAAAGGTCATTCGCTTCCATTCAAATTGCCCAAAGGGGGTGATAAAAAACGAGATCAAACGAGCACGATGCGTCATTTTCACTACCCAAAATCCCCTCGCCATATCCAAAGAACAGTACCAGAGTGTCGATTCCAGATCTTCAAGTAAGTCACTGATCAAGGGCATTGGGTAGATCATCAGCTGTGTTAGACTGTTAACCAACCGATATTCGATACACAACCTGATATCCACTCCGTTCTTCTTGATGATCACCACGATCGGGGAAGCCCACGGTGATCTAGAGTAATTGATCATCTTGGCAGACAATAGACCCTTAAACAGGTCCACCAGCTTCTCCCTGAACTGGGATCCACAACTTACGACACTTCAGAGCGATAGGTCTCGCTCCTCCGACATCGACGTCACACACAACACCTCGGGCGGCCGGCGGCAGGGCATTGCCTTTGCCGATCAAGAGGTGTCGGAATTTCCAGATCCTGTGGCGAAGTCAATCGATTTCTTCTGGTGTCTGATTATCAGATCCACATAGCTGAATGTCCTCGACCTTCACAGCTTCCGTCCTCACGGGCACTACTTGCAGCACCGTCATCTGACCGTCGTCGACATCTTCCGCGTACAGATCCCTTCCTTCATGGTAGTATACACATTCATCGTAATCTTGATCTGAGTCCCAGGTAAGGTCAAAATCCGACGCGTCTGGTTGATCTTCAACAACAAGTGGTGGATCAATGTCCGTTTTTGCGACGTAGACGTGACTTACTTGTCGTTCAACGGATCACTGGCCATATGTCCCGTCCCAGATTGTACATTAATCATTGATGACGGATCTGATCCGCCGCATTTCGACGGTGGTGTTCCTTGATTCTGACATCCTAAATGTAGTGGATCCTGGTTGGCGACTCCGACTCCGTCCCGACGTCCCTTTTCTCGATTTTTCCACCACGCTTGTAGTATCTTCCAACGGTGGATCAGTCGCCCAGTCGTCTGGCGTTACTTGATCGAGATCTTCCAGCGCCTCCTTGACCGTTACAAGATGCGATATAGAGTCTTCGTCTGCGATAGACGATACATCCGACTCCTCACTTGCGACAGACGCTAGATCCAACGGTCGAATCTCCGACGGCGATTTGTCCGACGGCGCCTTGCCCGAAGGTAGGCAGTCAGGAATATCTTGATCCTGACTCGCCTCGACCTTCCGACACTGGATCAACGTCGTCTTTGGTCTTTGGAGTATTGCGCACGAAGTTTTGTACTCGGGACGCCCCACCGCGGGCACCTGCGGGATCTTGACCTCGATATCTTCGGATTGGGTGTCTGTCGTAGCTTCCAACGCTAGATTCTGCCATTCCATGTAACGACGAGAGCCGAGCGAGATGAAACCCGATATCGGTGGCACTTGGTCTCCGGTCAGCCAGATCCCGATCCGTTGGTCTTGATGCAGGATCAACACCTCCTCCCCTATGTTGGTGATCGATATATATTTCGTCCTGCCTGGTCCATCGGATATCGTCGGCACCCAACTATCTCCACGCGTAACCCACAACTTGTCGTGGATCGACGATCTCAGGCGTAATGGCAACTCCACCTACTCTCCTGCTCGGATCCGAAGATATTGGCCGACATTCACGATTTTCGCCTTGTCGCTATAGAGCTGACGGCTTCCGCTAAGCTGGATCCGGACTTCATCGGGCAAGGTGTTTGATCCATGAGCGAGATCCAGGCGGATCCCGGCTGGGACCATGAAGTC